TCTTCTTTTCAGGTGATTAAACACTAATGAAAACATACCTATGAACATTATATTCCATTCCTGCCAATATATCCACACTGGACTTTTAAGACTGCCATCTACAAGCACACTAAATGTAGTTATTCCTGTTGTTAAAGCAAACTACATATGCTAATACACACCATGCTGGTTACCTGAACCATAAGCTGCTGTCATTGGTCAGGCTAAAGGGACAGACACAGAAATGAAGGCAAAACAGAGATGATTGGCTAATAAATGTCTCATTCAGTCCTCAAATGCCATCTTCTCAACACTGTACTCTGGACTCAAAACACATAGCCTAATGCTCTCAACGGGATTAGTCATACACGTATTAAAGGAACAGTTCAGCCTTTCTGCATTTACATCTCACTTTTTTATATTGGATAGCTATCCAATCCTCCCAAGACACATTAAATGGCTAGAGTGAGTATAAATCTGGATACAACAGTATAAAATCTTCAGACCATATCTGACAGCTGTGATATAGCTGGAGATACAGCTCAGAAGCTCTGGCTGAGTGAATGAACTGTTGTTTGTCAAGAAACAGTTACAGCCCAGAACTTCCCCTGAGATAACAAATCGTCATATTTATATTTCTGTTCATATGCGAGTTAAATAAATAAGACACAATGTGTTGCCAGCTTTAAAGGTGCTTGTAGATGTATTTTTGAATTTAGAGTCAGACAAGCTGCTTCCCCCTGCCTACAGTCTTCATGCTAAGCTAGGCTAACAACAGAAAGAAAGAAAATAAACATAATAGTATGCCGACCCTTAAATGTTTTGATCACAACACAGTCCTTACTGTGTCCCTCAGGTCATAAAATATGTTCCAGTAAATACATCAGAAAAAGGAAGAAGGTTTTCAATTTTAGCGGTGCAATAAATCTAAGAATTAAAAAAAGAAAGAAATGTACATCTAATCTTTATTTGTTTTACTGAAATGATTCCAGACCATAACTTACATGACGTATGTGTAACCCTGTATCAGCATTTAACATTTAACACAGTGTCTAAACTCACCAGAACAAATGTCTGACACAAAGACAATTACTATCAATCAACAGAATTTGTTTTCAAATATGTTTAATTGATTAAATAAATCAAATAAAATCGAGTTAAATATCAAGGCAGTTTGTCAGCTCTGGAAAAGGCCATTCCAATAAACAGAACATACATCACATGTACTGTATGTCACTACTGTTTCTCCAAACTGTGTGTGTCTTTGCATGTCACTGCATACATGTGTGCGTGGGGAACAAAGTTTATGTTTACATGATGTTGTTAAACCCAATTAAGCGTGCTATATATTTGCAGTATCACACACAGTAATGGCCTCGTGTATATGTGAATGTACTGGATGTGCAAATAGCAAACAGTGGATGATGCAGAGTATTTATCACACCATTGTGTGGGTCTCTATTTGTGTATGTAGCTAAATTGAGCTGAGCTGAGCTGTCATCACTGCATATAGGCGAGTGTGTGTGAGTACAGTATGTGTGTTTGTGTGGGTGTATGTGCGTGCAAGAGGGAGAAACACAACTCACCAGCAGGGAAGTAGAGCGGGAGATTCTGCAGATACAGCTCCTTATCCGTCGGCAAAAACACACAGAAGATGACTCTGTCCAGCTGACACAAACACACACACACACACACACACATACAATGACCTTTATTACAAGCATATGCAATAACCATGAATTCATCAGTAGCAGGGGGAAACAATGTAACAGCGTGTGACATTGTGCAGCGGTGATATTAGGAGAATGCAGCTAATGCATCAGTCCATTACTCCTCTATTAGCTCCCTATTATGATCATGCCACAACACAGAGCTTATTAGGCTACACTGTGTGTTGGAGTGCTACAATGTACAGAGTGTGTGTGTGTTTGTGTG